ATTTTTTTTTTCCCTCACAGAATGAGACATCAGTGCTGATAGCAAAACTATATTCTCCCTGTTTACATACTCTGTGGGGCTTTGTTTTTTTAAGATTCTGTTTTCACTTTTTTAGTTTATTGTGTTGTGACTGGTACTGCCAAAATGCATAATAATTTATATATTCTGCAAGATAGTTTCAATAATACTTTCCCAAATTTCTGAAAGTTGAGGTCATATTTAGACTATAATAAGCTTAAATTACCTTCTTTCAATTCTACTTGTTAAAAATTTACCCATCTTAATAGTGTGGTCTCTGCTTCCTTACTGTGCACATCCCACACACTTAAGAGCTGGCTTGTCTGGTGTCACAAGATTTATCTAGTTTATAATTGCAATAGTTGAAAACAAAAGTTGGTTTTACTGAATTCCTCTTATAGTTCAGCTGTATTATAGAGTGTTACTAATGTTTTAGAAAAAGTTCTGTGTTCCTAATGCACATGTTTTTTATTTAAGGTAAATGAGGCTACTTAGTGGACTCACTGGATGCAGCTGATATTTTTGTTTCGGTTTGTTTTGTTGTCTGAAGAGATTCCACCACCAACGTGATTATGCTACTTTTGTGGTTCAATCTATTCATGAATCCATCTGTCACCAGTCCCTGCGTAACTTCCCGGTGGTGCACTGAAAATTCAGTCTTCAGCCCTTCATTACTCTGTTCCTTTACCCAAATCAGCTCCAAATGCACTGGACGCCTTTGTGTGGACTATCTCACATCATCCTTTAAAATTTCACATGTCCTAGCTTTGTCTGAGAAAGTGGTATGAAAAATACTGTAATCTCTGAGGTAATAATGGCAGATAGCTGTCATTTTCAGGAGTTTGGTACTTCATGCAACACACTTCAGAAAGTTAATGATGCACTATGGAACTTTGTAAACATCTTACAATTCTTCCAGCTGCTGTCAATTATTTTTCATATGCCAATGGTTGCCAAAGATGTTTTATTTAGTTGCCACTGGTCTGAAACACCTTCCATGGTACAAACCTTTCAAACACTAGCCCAAGATGGATTACCATAGTACATATTGCCACTGGTTTGGCAATGAGGAGTTTGCTGCTGTGGTCCACTGAATATTGCTGAAACATTCAGTTTTGATGTTAAAAAGTTTGGTTTGGCTCTGGCACATGTAGTCACTTGACCCATCAGAAGTATTTATGACACCAAGTCCTGTAGTAGTACCTTTAAAGAGATGAGAGGAAATAGTGTTTTGGTTAAGGCCACGTTTCATCTTGTGGTTTTGTGCTAGCTTGGAAAGACAAATTTGATGCAGCATGCTATTGACAGGACAGCTGCTTGGTCCTCAGTAACTGATAACTCTTCAAACTACTCTGTACAGTGCCCTTTTCTTGACCAATACTGCATATATCCTGTCATCCTGCTTAAGTGACTATTTGTCAAACTTTAGAAAGTTGAAGCTAATTTAGCTTTCATTAAAAAGGGTCCATTCCAAACTAAGTATCAATGCTTTAGTTCTTGATTTCATTTAGTATATCTCAGGGACCAAAATCTCCCTTTCAGTTTCCATGTCCGTAGTTTTAACTGCAAGTTGTTGCAAAATATGCTGGGACAATCCAAAATTCTGTCTTAGTAGAGTAAGTACTGGCACGTGAAATGGGCCACTGGAATTTACAGACGATGGTGACAACTGAATCCCATCCACTTTGAAATCGTTTGTTTTCCACATGAAAGGAGTGAAGTAATAACCTTATCTTCAGCTTTCCTGTATGAACGAACAGCATCCCAAATGCCAGCCTTATTGGCTAGGTCAAGGAAAAGGTGTTCTTGTGTAGTGATGTTGGATTAGTATGGAATGGTAGCAAGGTTAAATGTGGGAACAACAAAGAATTTCAAAGATGTGTTTAAATGCACTAGGAGTTAAAGGGAGAGGTTTTTTGTGTGCATTTGCTCTTAAAGATTCTTGTGTTTAACAAAGTTTCTTTGATTAGAGGCTTAATTTTTAAAAGGATGTTATATATGTCTGAAGCAATGAATTGCACAGGAGTTCAGGTCTGTACAATATATTTAATATCAAATGCATATTAATTGCCTTTTTATTGTCAAGTGCAATGACTTTTGAAAATGTGACTTTTAACTTAGAAGATAAAGAACATTTTTCGTCCTGTGGTTGCATGTATAACTTCAGCAGAGAGAAGGGATTTTGTACACTAATGAAAATGTAACAGCATCATTCAAATACTGTCTCTCCTGTAAGTACTCACATGTGAACTGTGACAGCCAAAATTTCTGGTGTTTCCAGTTTGTATTGGAGAGATAAAGAGTGAAAAAAGAATATAATCCCATAGAAAAGTTTTCATACTCCTTATCTTTACTCTGAGCTGTTTCTGATCCCACTGTATCCTGAGGAAGAGGAGTGGAGCAGCCTGTGGAGCACAGGGAGTAGGGGCAGAACACACCTCAAACTCTGGACTTCTGAATATGACCTATTGCCAAAACCACTGAAGTGCTGAACCTGGGAACGAATAATGCTGAAGTGTTGCCTTTGCCCATGATAAATGTGGCAGGGCGAAAGCTTGTACCTAACAAGTAGGAGAGGGAAATTTTGCTGCTTTTCTGACTTATCTTTTACTGGGAAACACAATTCTTATTAATTTTTCACTGAGTAAGGATCATTATTTTATTTTCAATTGCTGTTGCAAATGTTTTTTAAGAGTTTCACATCACTGTTAACTTTCTACCAACATAGTTGAAATATATTGTAAACTGCTTGTTGGCGGGGAGGGGACAAACTGTTAAAGTTAGCTTTTTGTGAAGCTGTGATTTTTTTTTTTTTTTTATGAATTACCAGTTTATAAATTCTTAATTGAGAAATGCATTAACTTGGTATTAAAGTACCATAAAGGAATTGATGTAAGGTGTTGGTTTATTCTTGCACATCATCTTTCAGACACATTGTCACTAATATTTTTACATGAGGCACAAGTATACACTGGATATAAAAAAGTAAAGCAGCCTCTCAGAGACATGCTTTAAGTTGCTCAGATGTACAGGTGAAATACGTGCAGTTGTGCATTCTGCTTCAGTGATGCAAGGACTCAAGGTCTGGATTAGAAATCACATTTCCTCAAGTCCCTCCATGTTCAGGAAAAATCAGGACAACACAAGTAAAAGGACAGGAAGGAACATGGTCGTAGTATAGGTTTGATGCAAAGATGGGGTGGGGCCAATACACAAACAGGTTTTGGTCTTATACTATAGTCTGGCTATTGCTACAGATTCAAAAGCCTTTGTGAGCTGTGGAAAGAAATGAAACAGCAAACATTGCTGGGGGCGGTAGCTGGGAACAGAAGTGCTTCTGTTATTTTAAGAAAGGAACATGGGCTGTATCTGATGGTTACATTTAAGGAGTGCACCTGATGGATTCTTATTCTATCTCTTTGTGGCTTCCAGCTGCCTTCTACACATCCAGTGCTCCATGATTATCTAAGGATATGGCCTTCATTCGTAGCCTTTACAAATCCTTAGTCTCCTATATGGCAATCAGTTGTGTGTGTCAGAAACAAAACTCACACACCAACATACACATGGAAACAAAAATGCATTTAAATTTCACATCAGCACACAAACCTGAGGTAACACCTTATCACTCAATATCAGGCTTCTCTCTCTGCGCATAAGACTCCAGTGTCTTCCTTTCACATGGCAGAATTGCAACCTTGCCCTTAGCTGCCCTGCACAAGAGTCTACTCAAATTCCATGACTCATCAAGCTGGAATATTATGAGATTAGAATTTTATTAATTTAATAAGTTTCAGAAGCTTATAAATATTTTTTTCCAGTGAAAGCTAATATGTCTGTTACTGGAACTCTGTGCTGTATAAACAAGCTTCTTAATATCTGCATCAGCATCCAAGGTCTAATCTTTCAATCTAAAGAGCCCTAGATCTGTATCAGCTATTAGAATGCTGCCCCATTATGAGCTGTAGCTGTGTATGCACATATGTGTTTTTCTAATTACTATATTTTATATATAAATTACTGGAATTTATGGAAGTAGTACTCATCAATCATGGAGATAAAGATGGGCACATGAGTAGCCCTTTAAAGCTGGGAAGTGGCACAGGAGCATTGCTGGAATGATTTGTCCAGAGGGCCCAGTGCTGCCCTGAGGGATCCCTACAGGCTGGAGAAATGGGCTGACAGGGACCTGAGGGAGCTCTGCAAGGGGAAGTGCCAAGTCCCACCCCGGGAGGGGCAAATCCCTGCACTGGGACAGGCCAGGGACCAGCCCACTGGGAAGCAGCTCTGCAGGACAGGTGCAGGGGGCTCCTGGTGGACACAAGTTGAACCCTTGTTTCCAGCAATTGAACAAAGGCAGCAAACAGCGCCTGGGGCTGGGTCAGGCAGTGTCAGCAGCAGGGCAGGGCAGGTGATCCTTCACTCAGCCCTGCTCAGACACACCTGTTGGCCACTGAAGCTGTGGATGCCTCACCCCCAGAAATGTTCAATACCAGGTTGGATGGGGCTTTGAGCAACTTAATCTAGTGGAAAATGTCCCTGCCCGTGTCAGAGCAGCTGAAACTACATCATCTTTAGGAACCCTTCCAGCCCAAAGCATTCCATGATTCTGTGATAACCTGGAGCGCTGCATCTTGCTCTGGGATTGCCAGGATGAGAGAGATACAGACACATCAGAGGAAGACCTATGACAAGCCACAAAGATGGATGAAGTGTTAGAGCATTTGCATGGGTGAGAAGTTGAGAGACCTGGGCATATTCAACTTGGAGAGAGCTCAGATATAAATTCCTGACACAGGGACTAAAAGCCAGACCCTTCTCAGTGGTACCCAGAGATAGAGCAAGAGACAAAGGACACAAGACAAAAGAGCACAGGAAATCTCATTCAAACAAAAGAAAACAATGTTTTACTCTGAGGGTGGTCACACAAGGAAGCAGACTGCTCAGAAAGGTGGGATCTCAATCCAAGATACTGAAAACCTGATGGGACATGGCCCTGATATCCCTGACCCTGCTCTGAGCAGAGGGCTGGCCCAGACAGAAGTGCCCTCCTGCCTTGGTCCATCTGTGGGGCTGGTTAGATTAGCCACAGCTCAACCCCAGCACAGGCTGAAGGCTTGAGCTAGCTCAGAACAAAGGCTAGGGGAAAGTCCATGCCGGTTTATTTGGACAAAACCAGTTCAGTTTGTATGAACCAGCTGTCACTCACTGTTGTATTTCAACATTCTTCAGCTGGCAGTCTTACTGTGTTACCCTGTGTACATGTTTGCTTTGGAAGAGCCAGCCTGACTGTGTGGGCTGGTTATCTTTCTTGGTTTAGTCCTGAGAGACATTCTCTTAAGCAGTTGCAGTGGGAGTTTAAATAAAAATATTCTTTTTCAGATTTCTGGTTGCTTTAATCTAACACCTTATTTTTGATAGGGAATTACACCACCAAGTGGTTCAAAGGAGCCTAGAAGGCAAGCATGGGATAATGTGTTTCCAAAGACATCACAGTTAAATTGCAGTTAGCAAAACCTAAAAGTATGAGCTCCTTAAGTTTTTGTAATTTGAAGACATCAGTTTGGGAGTAAGTAATTTTTTTTTTGTAGTGTTTTTATCCTTTAGATCTATGGGCTGCTGGTCTAGGAATTCCTTCTCTGGCTGTCCTTCAAAGTATATCCATGTCAGCTGGAAGGATGTCACACACTGTTTCTTTTCAGTTCTGCAAGGATGGGGTTCTTTGGGAACTGAGGATCCAGCAGCTCTGATTGCCTGATTGCCTGACACACTTCCTAGGTCTTGTGCAACTAGAAAACAGACAGGATGGCACTGGCCATCAGTTGTCTCTGTCTAGAACAAGCATTTTCCCTCCCACCACTAAAGCCAGTTGCAGTTGTATTCTGTTTATTTTGGCAAGAAGATGAGTTAGCCTGCTCAACAGCACCCACACTTCCTTTGCTACTTCAAAAACAGCTTCAGGAGTTGTGGTTTTATCACTTCTGCTACTTATTTTTGCTAAGGTTTCAGTCCTATTCCTCCTTCTTGCTTAGGTTATCTTGCAGGTGGAGCCATTGCTAAAAATTTGGCACAGATTTTATTGTCTGATACAGATTCATGAACTCTCTGCCTTTAACTTTTATGAGCACAGAAATCCCTTTGTTATTACTACTCACTCTTCAACACCAGGAGTGAGGTGAGAGGATACATAACATAAATATTAATGCCTTTCCCTGCATGATGTTTCAGTATTAAAAATCACTTTCTTCCACAAACACTAAAGCCGAGTGCTGGCCCAATATGAAGGAAGGTTACTTGAAAAACTATGTAAACTGTTTCAATCTCTATCAGCTTATAACTAGAATCCAACTCCAAGTCTTCTGTGGACAGCATTTTCTGGAATTAATGTACTAGTGCAGCTTGTCAACCTTGATTGCTCAAGGGCAATTGATTCTTCAGTTGTACAATTCTGAAGAACTGACTCTTCAGCAGAAGAAAGGGCTTTAATAAAATAAAATGTTCTTCAAAATCTCACAGTAGAAATACTGGAGGCATCAGATATTCTCCATTTCTGGGATTTTTTAAGGAAAAAGAGGAAAAGGGGGGAATCTGGAATGTGCAAGAATCATGTTGTCACTGTCAAGTAAAATACAAGATGATAACTACAATATTGTTCTCAGCTAAACTTCAAGACATGTATTTCTAAGTCTCTCCCCCAGCAAATAGGTATGTATCACCAACACAAGCTATTTTTGTGTGGACTCTAATTCTCTAAAAGGTGCAGTGCAACATGATGCCTCTATCCTGTGACTCTAATACATAAACCTTAAAGAAAACACATTGTACCTTGTCTTGCTTTGGATTTCAGCTCACTGATGAACTTCCAACTCAAGTCAGGGGCTGTCATACCCAGTGACATATTTTGGACCATGCCATCATTGCTTTGACTCTCACCAGACCTTTTGTTTACTTCTGGTATCACACCAACAAACAAGTGCACACAAGGCAGGGTTTGTCAAACTTCAAAATGTTAAATAATGTTGAGCAATGCTAAGCACAATTTATGTTAATATAATTAATGATTAAATTAAATGAAACATAATTGTGCTGAAAGATTTTATTTGCTAATCTTGAAATAGGTTATTTGCTTATTCATGAGGATGTGAAATACTGAGTCACAACTGATGTGCAGATGAGCTACGCTGTATATTAGAATATGCAGGTAGGGCTTTATTATTCAGTGTATGAGGCAAGCACTTAGGAAAGGTAGAAAAAACCATACCTGAATTTTAGCAGTTCAGAATACAGTGTACACAATAGTAGATCAATATAACAAGCAACAGGATGGTTGAAGGACACAACAGTAGGATGACATTGGTTTGCAGAATATCCTTGATATATCTGAAATGGTTGGAAGAGTTCCTTATAACTTCATTAAAGAAAGCCAATCAGTTATTCCCACTTGATTTTCTTGCAAAATCTGTTGAAACTATCACAGCAGCATTTGGCACAGTATTGTCAAATGAAAATGTTGAAATCATAATTTAAATATTTATGCAGAAACATGAGTCACAGCTGTACTACCTTACCATAGAAACAAAGATAACATCAGCATGCAGGCAGCTCACTTACACACTGTAGGCCAGTACTGCCAAACTAGTTTGCACCAAATGTATGGTATTAAACACTTATGAGGAAAGACAGTGAGGTCTTTCATAATAAAATTTTAAAAAAAAAAAAGGTGTGGTAATTAATTCTTGTTTATAGACAGTCCCTTAAGATTGTTCATATTATGAATTTCCACCTAAAAGTCAGGAAGTTCCAGCACCAAAGTTACACACAGACCTAGCAGTCCATATCCATTAAAGTATAATTAGTAATTTCTTTCTCTCAATGGCCATTTCATTTT